GCATTATGCTAATATTTCCACATAGTGAGGTAGATATGTGGGGGCGTGTTAGAACGAGCCGTTTTAGGGGGCGTGGCAGAGTCTTAACTTTGATAAAGAATATCTCTTTGGTTTTGAGACTTTAGTCTTTGCAACTTCAGGGATCTTATCTATGCACAATCAGCTTGTAAAACTCCAAAGAGAAAGGACAACTTGAAATCGTATCATATGACCCCTTTAATAATGTAAAAGTCTTTACTGTCATTTTTGATTAATTTAATGCATCCTTGGTGAAAAGTATTTATGTAAAAAAAATGTACTCACCCTTTGTGTGTGTGTGTGTGTGTGTGTGTGGATATTACTAAAATATATATAGGTAATACATTTAGTGTGTTTTATGATTTAAAAACATAAAATGCACTTCATATCTCCATATTACCTATCCACATTTTTAATGTGTTACATATCTTGATTACATTTGACAAGATAAAGAATAATATTAAATATAGCAACTTTGTATCTCAGGTAATTTATTTCATTTTATATATTGGTTCTTCCAAACAAAACAAAGATACTTATTAAGAAATGTTTTTCAGTCTAGAAAAGACCTTTGTGAGAAAACGGGTCTCCGTGGTTCACACTTTCCCAACAAACACCAACAGGATTGCAATACTGATCCAACAAAACACTACAGCTGTTGGTGATGGTTAAGACAGTGTGATCTAGCCTTTAGATGCTTAGACAATGAGACCTGTGCATGTGATGTTTCATGAGAAGTTAGTCTCTCCCAGCTCAGCCTGCTCTTGGCCCCGTCTTACCTGCTGCACCTTGTGCCCTTGTTCATAGCAGGAATCTCCATGATTATTACCTCACCGCCTGTGCATGCCCACTCCAAGGTGCCTGGGTGTCCCAGGGTCAGTGGAGCCTCTTGTCTGCATCTCACTGTCCACTGTGTGATTAAGCACGTTGGTTTCCAGTCAGTCAGTGGAGGAGAGCAGCGATGCATTGATTGATGCCAGTGAGTGGGTGGAAGAGTGTCTGACTCGCCAGAAATCCCTTCATACATCCAGCACTGCTTTACCCATGCTTTATGCTTACACTGTGTTTGTTTTCATCTATGACAGGTCTAGGTCACAGAATTGACCAGAGGAAAACTGTCTAATGAGGATGTAAAAAAGGGGACGACGGCATGCATATAATCATGTTTACCCTGAGTCTTATGAGGACACATCTCTGTATGTGATGCCTGCCATTGATCATTTGAACTAGGACAGGTCTGTCAAGGTAATGAATATATGAAGTCGGATCCCTCACGTCAGCACTTTTAGACACAGGATGTCAGCGAAGAGAATATAGACGAGCTCAGCTGACATTGTAATCGCTGCCGCGTGTTACGATCCCCTTAAGAGCTCTCGTGGAAATCACTTAAGAGCTCCCTGTCACATTGACTTTAAGACACGTACAGTAAACTAATGTGTTCATTAAACTCCATGCCTGATCTACATTGAAACCATTTGCCGTAATGCATAGTCATTGAATGTCATAATGAAGTCATTAATGTTGCAAATGGTGTGGACAGTGGCAAAGGTGCAAGATGTCTTCCACCAGTCGGGCCCGGTTCACTGACACTGGGCTAATAGGGCCACAAGATTCACCCTCATAATCTTCAAACAACCATCCGTGATGTGAGCTCATCTGAAGAGCAACAGTACCACCTAGTGGTGGCACTGAAGATATGCAGCCTGTTGATAGTCAGCGATTCATTGTAAACCATTCATGCATAATTCATGGATGCATTATACATCAGCTCTACAAACCCAATGTGTTCCCTTGAGTGACCCATATCATACACAAACAGCTTGCATTCATTAACAGGATGAGGTGTTCAGTTGGGATTGAATGCGTAAGGAGCAGTGCATTCCTCGACTGACAGTCCTCAGAAATGCATCGGTGTTGAGGTTGCGTCATCACCTGCTTTGCACGAAATAAGCGTTTCGTCATTGTAGTGTGAAATATAGATTAGTTAACTGACAGTCCTCAGAGAAAGACTTCTGTAACTGTTGTTCTCTAACTCTCTCCGTTTTAAATTTTTTTAATGCATTTGCATCAGATATCTTAGAAATGCATCGGTGTTGAGGTTGCGTCATCACCTGCTTTGCACGAAATAAGCGTTTCGTCATTGTAGTGTGAAATATAGATTAGTTATTTTTGCCTACAAGCTCTGTTATGCAGGGTGATTTCGAATTTCTTTACAAAGCTACAGAGATGTCTTTTAATTCATCATCAAATCTTTAAGCTCTCCTGTTATCTAGAAGTCTACCTCATTGCATTACAAGAGGCATTTAATAAAATCCGTGAAATTATTTTTAAATATCTCGCTATTGTTGGTAAATACTTATATTTTTTCACCAAGAACTCTTTAGTTATTTTATTTAGTTCAACCACTGTCATATAGAGAACCCTTTTCACAATCTAATGAATTCTTGTCAAATAAGATCAAGACTCTAGATTTTTTGTTATTGAATATCGATTATCACTTAGAAATAGATTATTTTACCTAGTAAAATAGATTACAAATGTGGTTTCATGTTGAAGTAGGTGTGTGCAGCAGAGATCAACTGGCAATTCATGGAAAGCAATGGTTGCTTAGTCACACTACAGCTGGAGAGAAGAATACGCCGACCTGATTCATTCCTCTCAGCTGATGTAATTTAAGAGACCAGGGACCAGCCATGCCTGAAGCCCCCTCACTGCTGTGTGAGCAGATGATCAGACAGCGATTATAAACATACACACACAGCACGGTGCGAGATATCTGATGTAATTTATGTTTCCTGGAGATAAAGATACAAGTTGATGGGTGTGGTTTTGAGATTGTGGATATGGATGTGGCTGGCAGAGAGAGTGTTTTGATTTGATTTGTTAGCAGCATTTAATCCAGGAGTTTCAAAGTCTTCCAAAGCCCTAAAATGTATAATATAGACACAAATGTAATTGTACATTTAAATATAATGAAGTATAAATGTAATATTTATTAAATGTTGTTAAAAAATGTAATGCACAAAAGAAGTCTCTTTTAAATTGTTTATTAACAAAGTTCGGGAGGAGCATGTTCAGATGATCAGCTGATTCAGCACAGGTGGAGCATGTTCAGATAATCAACTTAATTAGCCAACTTACCTCTGATATTTTATTTTTATCTTAATTACTTAGATTTAAATGACCATGTGGTGAGATAAATCAATTTTATTATTATGAAAAATATTTTATTATAAAGTATATGTATTTTTGTATACGTTTCACTGAAACATTGCAGTAAAATATGATTTGCAAGCTATAGCAGCATGTGGCATTTATCTATTTTTGTAACACTATTAGAATTCTAAAAAAATAAAAAATATTTTGTAATGTTATATTTTTATATAAACATTTATATTAATATAGTTTTATATAAATATTTATTAATAACTATTTCCTTTAACAATTGAAATTTTCTTTGTTTAGTTTTTTTTTAAATACTTTTAGATGAATAAAACGACATGAAATTCCATGTCAACTACCCAAATACTTTCTTGCGCACCCCGGAGGATACTCTACGCTCCCCCGGGGCTGCATGCACCCCAGTTTAGGCACTGCTGCACTAAGGAAAGACATGAATTTCATTCCCCAACAACATTCAGAAAAACTGCGTCTGTGTGTGTTGTGGTGCAGACAAAAGGAACATTGCCAGATGGGCAAAGGTAGTTTGAAGAACTGCATTAGTAATGGCAGGCCACTGTGGACTGAAGTGTGGGAGAATCCCTGCGATCGCCTCCCGCCGATGTCACGCCGTGTCCACCAAACCAGCATGCCCTTTCATTACATGACCTGCCTTGTGCTGCGACTCTGGTTCAGGCTCATGCTGTGAGATTGATTTGTCTGTTCGAGCATGGTCATGCTGGTGTAATGGCTTGTGGAACGCCACTGTGATTCTCTGGCCAAGCGTGGAATGGCAGAGCTCAGCAGAGCAGAGAAACCTGCTGTGTATGTGACAACTGTTGTGCCTGCTCAGGCTGGTGACGCAGCACTGTTTGCGAGTTCAAGCCAAACGCTTTTGTCTCTTTTATCAGTTTTTGTCTCTGTGTCTCTTTCTCCCTTCTCCTCCCCTCGCTTTCACATGTAATCTCACCTCAGCTTGTTATGCTCACAGAAGTAGCAAAGCGTGCACAAGCTGTATTAAGGTATCTCGATGCTGTTTGATATTCTAAATACCGTTCCTCTCCAGAGATCACCACATTACCTTTGTTGCATTTCTTTTTCCTTTTGCCATTTTACTGTTCCAGTTGTTGTTATTGTTCTTTTTCTCAGAGGAGAGAGGCTGAGCTTGGAAATAGTGATGGCAGCAGAGGAAGTAAATGGCAAAAAGCACCTTGTCAAAGGGCTGGGGCTTTTACTTCAGCTAAAGTGAGACGAGGAAGATGTTTGCTCTGTTTTTTTCCTCCCACGTCAGCTGAAAATTCACCTTTAACAGGCCCAAATCTGTTCTTGAACTTTCCGTGATCCTGTTCCTGAGGTCAGAAAGTAGTAAATGACTGCGATAAGTGACTTTTTCTTGTGGTACTCTTTTTCTGGACAAAAATGGTTTTGATGTGGAGTCTGGTTCTGAGGTAAGGTCAGGGATGTAGTGCACAGGCGGGGTGGGGGAGGGCTGGAAGGCTCGGCTGGTGGGCTGACGACTGTGTCTCCTCTCTCCCTCGGCAGTTCATGGCATCAAGTGGACTTGCAGCAATGGGAACAGCAGTTCTGGCTTCTCTGTGGAGCAGCTGGTGCAGCAGATACTGGACAGCCACCAGACCAAGCCTCCTCCCCGGACTCACAACTGCCTCTGCACTGGCACTCAGGGTAAGGGACAGACAGGAGGGCTGGGGTGTGGGATAGAGGCAGTCAAAAAGAAACAGGTAGAGACAGAGGGAGCAGGTAGTGCTTTAAATATGTCTGCAAGAACTGTAAAAGATGAGGTGAGTGTAGAGCGGGCTGAATGCCTAGTTAGAGTAGCGTCCAGGCTGAACACTTCATAGATGTGCTGATTTATTGAGCTGTCTGTTGCGATGAAACCACTGGGGGGCGTAATGTTCCTGCATATCTGTGCAGTCAATCTTTTTTTACTCAAGTATACAACAAATGAATTTTCACCTTATACTTCATCACAAATATGCAGCACAGCACTTTACAATCCCATGGTGTTGCTTCTATAGGGTGCTGTTACTCTGAAACAAATTTAATTGCGTGTTTAAAACAAATGATTGTGGGCTAGATGGATTGCCATTTGTTGTGTTCATATAAAATTCAATTGCCAAGTATGCAGTAAAATGACTAATACCAGCCATTTATTAACAAAACGGGAAAGCTATTTGTTGGCTTCTCGTGAAACAGTTAATATTGATGATTGATGGTCTCCATAAAGATTTAAATTAATCTCAAAGCATTTTATTCCATTTCAAAGACATTATGTGGCTTATTCTTTGAAACACTCTTCTTCTGATGTACAAAGCAAACAGAGACTCTTATAGTGATGTCATATATAAAACAGTAGTGAAGTTATTATGATGTGTTTTGTATTATTCAAATGTAGTTTCAATGGAATAAATAATAGGGAAAAGGGGGAGGGATATCGCTGATTGTGTTCATTTAAATACTCTCGTGAATAAGAATAAATATTGATAATACTAATAATAATGGAATAATGTTCATTTTAAAGTGCATAATGTCATTAAGGATCTGAATGAATGAATTATTCTGAATACAAATATAATTTGTATTATGATGATTATTATTATATAAAATCCACATTTACATTGTGTATACAATTATAATAATGATAATGAAAAATATTGATAATTATACTGGTAATTCTGTTGATAATTGGAATAATGTTCATTTTAAAGAGGAAAATGCCATTAAAGGGTCAGATTTCCAAATTTACATATTCTGCATAAATGTACAGCTAATAAATTTCTTATATTTTTCTGCTTTCTCTCCCTTTAGCTATCGCACCTTGCAATGTTTATATTATTATTGCTGTTGCTGTTGTTGTTGTATTTTATTGTCTTTGTTAAGCACCTATACATCAAGACAAATTCCTTGTACATGTATATCCTCAGTACTTGGCAATAAAGAGGTTTCTGATTCTGAGATATTAATTATTCTAATACAATAGTTTGGATATTGATAATAATAATGTTAATAATAATAATAATTTTAGTTTGGAAAATGACTTGCTGTTTTGTTCTTTCTCTGCAGGTGCTGGGAGCAGTGTGCATCATAAGTGTAACAGTGCCAAACACCGCATTATCTCGCCCAAAGTGGACCCTCGTTCAGGTGGTTACAGCAGCACCCACTCTGAGCTCCAGAATAATGATGTGTCCGAGGGTAAGACAGAGCACAGCCAGAGCAGCAAAAACAGAGGAGGAACAGGAGGTGGGAGTGTACGTGAAAAACGCAATGGCAAGGTACACAAACCTGTGCTGCTGCACCAGAACAGCACTGAGGTCTCCTCTACCAATCAGGTGGAAGTGCCAGACACCACCCAGAATTCCCCTGTGTCCATCAGCAGCGGGCTGAATTCTGACCCCGACATGGCTGACAGCCCAGCAGTCACAGGCATGGGTCATGTTGCCTCTGTTATGAGCAGCCTATCCCAGAGTGTTTTTATGTCTGAGGTGACTGGGGATCCCGTCTACAGCATGTCCCCCACTGGAGGCCCCAATACCCATATTATGGGCCCTGATGCCACCTCTCACAGCCCATCGAGGGACAAGGACAAGGTGGCTCGCTGCAACTCCTTCAGTACCAAGGAGGTTTCCCAGGTCTTGGTGCAGAGCACGAGGAAGTGGTCGGCATGGATCAGAACCGCAATGTTGGGTCCGGTCAGGCTGGAGCCACAGAAAATGGGACAGATGGTTTACTAAAATCTGGGGATCATCTACAAGCCTGTGCAGGAGGAAGTGGAGAGAACGGAGGAGCGGATCACTTCATGCAGCAGAGCTCTGAGAATGGACCCATCGAGGGACAAGGACAAGGTGGCTCGCTGCAACTCCTTCAGTACCAAGGAGGTTTCCCAGGTCTTGGTGCAGAGCACGAGGAAGTGGTCGGCATGGATCAGAACCGCAATGTTGGATCCGGTCAGGCTGGAGCCACAGAAAATGGGACAGATGGTTTACTAAAATAGTTGTGTTTGAGTATAAAGCTCGTGCACTCCCCTCCCTACCTTCATCCCAGCACGACTGGCTGTCACTTGATGGTAAGTCTTGCTCTCTGTCTAATTCTGCATTTGTGGGAGAAAAAAGCACTTTATATCACTTTACTAAATCTGGAACCCATCATGTGACCCCTGATTATTGAGCTACTTGAAGTAGGTGATTATATAATGGTACCTTGCCTCAAGGCTTTTCTAATTATCCCACATTCAGTATTAACAAATTAAAAGCACATCTGATCAAGATAAAGAGTATGTCATGAAGACAGATAGAGAGTGAGTGTGTTAATAACAAATTTGGATTGAGGAAGGGTAAAATGCAGTTTAAACTGTGTAAGGTTTTCTTTTCAGTTGACCTCTAGATGGGGATAGAGGGCATGTTTGGCAAAGAAAGCAGAGTTCTGTTGAAATCTGAGCAGTCATCACCAGTGCTGAATGTGTATTTGAGGTCAACAAGCAAAGGTAAAGTGTGTTATTCAGCGCTAAAGGGAGGGCAGACCACCCTGTAATCATGTAGAATTTGTTTAAGGGCTTTAAGAACAACAGGAAGAGATTTTGATGCTTTTTCGCCCTTTGTGCTTTAATCTAACAGAGGCATGGCAAGCACAAAGGAGAGATGGAGGCAGTAATTTATAAAGGTGGTTAATACTTTAGGGTCAAAGGGAAAGACAGTCTGGAAATAGTACGAGCTTTTCGTGACATAAGACAAACTGATCGCTCCTTTACATCTGGCTTGACTTTGTATCTCTTTATTTATATGAAGGTTTTGGCGTGGTTTTTGAACAAAAATGCATAGTTGTATTCTATACGATGTTATCAACATTAATCTTGCAATAAGGTTGTTAATTGTTAAATTAGCCAAATAACTAGGTATCATGAACGTTTATTAATTTCATTTAAAAGTATACTCTTGTTCATTGTTAATTCCTTTACGGCACAGTATTAAGGTTCAAACTTTTGAACGGGGTCACTTTTTATAAATGTAGTTATTATTTTGTCTTGTGGAGTTTATGTAAATATCTGTTATGTGAAATAGCTTATTCAGGATGGTACTAAATAAAAAATAACATGCACATTTCATCATCCCTTAACATTATTAACACATTGTATATTCTGCAAGGGATATGTTAACTTGAGAGTTGTGACCAGAGCTGTAAGTTTAAGTACTAAAATTATTCAAACTAAAACTGAAAAAAAAGAAAAAGGCTAAATAGAAATTACAAATGCACATAATAACAAAATTACTAAAAGTAAAATAAAGTAAAATAAAAAATAAAAGCTAAATCAAAATATTAATAAATACTATAATGGTGTATAAATAATACTAAAACAATACAGATTCATGTTCATTCCTAATACTTTCATGTTAACTTAGTGTTACCATGTTAACCATTGGAAGCAGTCTGTGAGAAGATGGGACTAAAAGAAAGACGTAACTCAGATCCACTATTAAACACTTACACTGTACTGTTTCAACTTGCTTTTGCACACATATTGGTGAACTTTACAAAGTGTCCTTTTGCTGTCCTAATCTGTTAGTGTTAACTTAAATGCAACGGTTTACGTCTAATCATACCATCACTGTGAGGGATTTGCCCTCTTTAAAGCCTGGCAAACCAAATACAATCCCATACACATGCTTCAGCACAACCCAGGCTGCCTCAAACTGAGGCTGTGGCATCAAAGAGCTTATGAAAATATTGGAGCATATGGGCAAAGTGACACGCCTGCCAATTTGACGTCCGAAGCTCTAATCTGCTTGCTCCGATCAGGTGATAGGATGTTTAGCCAAGACAAACAATCCCGATGAATGATTTGGGCAGCGAGGAGTGGCAGCCAGCGTTCAGATGCAGCATGTGTTTAACAAACCTGATGTTTTGAGAGCAGAAGACTAAGCCAAACCAATACAAAAAAATCATGCATTACAGTAAAAGGGACATGTGTGCTCACACCAAGAGATACACTTACTGTATATCACTGCACATATCTATTAAACGGCTGATTTCTGTGGGTATTTAATCTGGGAGGTGTGTGTGTGTGTTATAAGGACAGGCTAAGTGCTCTGTCTCCTATGAGTCTGAGTAAAGAAGAGAGAGCCAGTGCCTCTGTGTGGTGCTGTTTGTCTGTGGAGGTGGGGGGCGGGGGTTGAGTGTTGTTACTGCAGTGTGCATTGACATGGTAAAGTAGGGCATGGTGGAGGAGTCTGTGGAACGGGACAGCTGCAATGCAGACAGCCCTGAAGGAGGAGAAAGGGAGCAACAGAGGACCGAGACCCCTCTCAGAACCCGGGCTCCATTCAACACAACACCAGTCCATTCACATCTCACAGACAGCACAGCCAACCATGCACTTGTGACTCTCTAGACTTAGACAACTGTGTATAAAACACACACACACATCTTTTTTTATACACTATTGGCTGTACAAGTAATTTCAAATTTAAAAATATATATATATTGTCTAGTTGATCTCATATCATAACAAAAAAATGAAATTGAAATAAATTTTGACGAGTTAACAAGAAAAACATTGTTGTGGCATATTAATTATATTTACAGTACATATATATGTATATAGTGCAAAATACATTGAATTCGTTTGTATACACACTTAGACTGTAATGACTAAATTGTTTACAGTATACCACACTGTTGTGGTTTTTCAACTTTTATGGAGAACTGTTTCTTAATGTATTTTCATTTAGCTCTCTGTTTTATAAACTTAAGTAGCAAAAGGTATGTTTAGTGGATTAGTGGATAAGAATAAGCTTAACTGAATTAAAGTGAGTCATCAGTTGGTTTGACTTTAAGCACAGCATGAAACACAGCGCTGCCTGGAAATGAGGGTGTCAAAGTATGCAGGGAAATCACAAAGCCATTTTGTAAGTTATTCCCCTCTAACTCCTACTCTGACTCATGCAATAATGGGTTTTTCAACTGAGTGTGATATTTGGAAGTGTATTTTGCACTTAACAGGTTAAGTTGGTCATAATATCAATGAACTTAGTACATACATTAAGACTATGCTATTACAAAAAACAATAAGTTTTAGATAGGAAGTCTCTTGCTTGTTAGGCATGTTATGAGTATTTCTACAAGTATATGAAAAAAAAAACACAGGCTATATAAGTAGTACAGCTGGGATGTGGCCGACATGACTGTTGTTTCTCAAAAGAGGGCCAAAACTATAATCATACTCAATCCAGTTTCTGGATTTGGGGGTTTATACACTTGCTTCTGCACTGACTCTAACTCCTGGCCATTAAACCACAGCCTGGTTTCTATATAGAGCACTGCTGTCAAATAAAACGATTTCGAGACAAACCTCAGCGTCTGCTGTTTGACACTTCATTTATCGCTTCCTTTCAGCTGTGTGCTCTGATGCTCTAATGGCACACAGCGGCCTGTCTTGATTTGTCATAATGCAGAATGGGGGCGGGGTTTTGCTTCTCTCTGCAGCATTGCAGGTACGAAGCCACAGGCTGGAGTCATTGTGCACTGTAACCATGACCAATATATTGTCTTCTTGCCAGTTCACATTGTCCACCGATTTAAGTTTGTGTCCAAATTACTGTCTAGTTCTTCAGTGGTCAATTGATGTCGCTCTTTGTACATTACCATAGATGAATCAGCATTTCAACATCGGTTTATCACAATGCCTGTAATTTATAGATATGAGAAATAAACAGTCGTTACAAAAATGAATTGTCTGGTTGCGTACAACTACTGATTCCCAGGTTAATTTTCTGTAACGCAAAGAAAAACGTTAAATATTTATGGGGAAATTGATTGAAAAACTGAGCAAAAGGTGGAGTAGTAATTTTAAATAGAAAGACAGTGTCACATGCTGTCTTTCCCATTAATAATATCTGCGTTTGCCTTTTTTTTTTTTGCTTTGTCTTCATGGATCGTGGAAAAACTAGGGCGTCTGTTTACCTGCGGCACGTGCTCAGCGTTTCCTCGCTGAGATTCGCGCACGCGCGGGGGGAGCAGTAGTCAATGTTGCCAAATCTCGCAATAAAATTAAGCGAATGCGTTTATAACTAAATAAGAGTCTCCTTTTTGTTTTGTTCCTGCTGATGTTTTTCATAATTCTTAGAGATAGAGAGGCGTTATTTAAAACATAAACATGTAAATTAGATAAAACAAAGATTAGGCTAAACGAGATTTATTTGCTGTTAGCTTCAAAATAGTGTATTTTCATTAAAGACATATTATTTTATAAAAATACTAAAAAATGTTTCATATATCTCAAAGCACGGGACTGCCTGGAAATAAGGCCAAAAACCGCAAACAAAACATGCTCTTATTGTAAAGACTTTATGAAATAGCAAGGCCAAAGTGGCTTATCATAAGCGGACTTGGCAACACCGGCCGTAGTGCTGGAGTAAAGAGAGGCTGGGGGAGAGAGTAAGAGAGTAAGTGAGCGGGCTTTACATTTCTCTCTGCTCTTGCACGTCGCTTCTACACTTTCTTCTATTGTTGATGAGACCTTTTAGGACATTCCCATAGTATAAAAAAGTATATTTATTTTGCCCAGTATTAGTAAATATAGAGGCAAACTGCGTGTGTGAGACACGGCCATTTGGGACATTGTGGTCAGGATGCCGATGAATGACATCTGCTTTTCCTAAAGACAAGGGACCATTTGCTTTGCAGGGCGACTCTCGATGGACAGTGAAATAGAAGGTTGGACTTGTTTAAATGAACCTTGTGTCTGTATGTGTGTGTGTGTGTGTGTGTGTGTGTGTGTGTGTGTGTGTGTTCTTGTCTCTAAAGTTACTACATGTGCTTAGCCTACTTTAAACCCTTGTCATTGCCATATGTGGAATACCAAGTGAGCATAGTGCTTTACTTCAGCTAGAGAAATGTTGCGTTCGGTGCGTTTTTCATTTACACTCCTACCTTTGCTTTAAATGCTAGATTGTGTTTCTAAAAATAAGACCGTTAAGGCTCAAGTTTGTCCGTTCTGACTGAATTCAGTCTCTACTGAAACGCTGTTTTCGTAGTTTCCTGAACTAAATGTGTCAACTTCCAAAATAGACA